AAAGAACACAAAATAATGGTGTTTCTTACAATTGACAGCTTCCACAATTCAGTGATATGTGATATATAATTAAAAACACTTAAATGGAAGGTGTATCAGGTAGTGTTATTTGTTTGCAAATAATGTTAGATCTGACTAAAACTGACAAAGTGATAAAGGATATGCACTGGCTCAACAATTGAAAGATTCCTGAGGTTGGGAGCATTTTATAGTTGATTTATACCAATCGATCAATGATATCAGAACTCTGCATCATTTCATCCTTGTGGCTAAGTTGTGCTGTATGCTACTTACTTAGGTCAAACAACACTTTCCCTTGGAGCTAAGGGGTAGAGTGTCTGTGCTATCCAGCTTGCAAGACTGCTGTGTAAGAGTGGATGATATGACCATGGATAAAGATCAGAGGAAAAAAAATCCCTGGATTCTCATTAAAAATCATAAAAGCAAGTGGTAGTTATGCTGTTAGCTTTGGGTTTGTTGCCTTGGTTTTAAGACACTTTGAGAGTCAAGACAGAGGGCTTTCCTTTTTTGCCCTCAACTTATTGAGACAGAAAGGAGAGAAATGGAGACACTCAACAGGATGGAAGAAAGAATCCATAGGCTTAAGGATTTCAGTATTTTTATAAGTGCTTTGAACCAACATGCTGGACTAAGGAAGTATTTTTCAGTTGGTGGCCCAAGCTATAATTTCACAAAGGAAAAATCTTCTCTGCACACCAAGTCAAATGATTATTTTTTGTTTCCTAAGAAAGCAAACAGTTTTGGAGAGAATTTTGCTAAAAGTCAAATTCTATAATGCAAATTTCTAGTGGTTATATGATGAGACCTGTTAGCCCAGAGACTTCTTGCTTTTAGAATTAGTTAGTACTCTATACAATAAGGGCATTTGTGCTTGTCATTTCTGGTGGCTCCATCAGGAATTTATTATTGCAGAGCACACAGACTATGTGCTGCAAAATCCCTTAGTTGATGGTTTGCCATTGCGTGCGCTCTCTCTCTCTTTTGCTCTTCCCCCACCCTTTCTTTCCTCATTCTCCCCTGTGTCTCCCTCTCTCATAAGTAATAAAAAGTGATTCATGGAGGAGATTTAGTTTAGATGAATTATGTGCAAACTTATTTTATGTAAGATGAATTTTTCCATGATATTGTATTTTCATCTCTGCTTTATCATTGCCTTTTTGTTTGAGTTAACACAATAATATTACCAAAGTCATCCTCCATTACATTACCATTTGCCTTCACATTTAAGGCAACGATGTCATCTTCAGATGAAGCCATTTGTCCTCGTTAAAACAGACAAGGCAGTTGGTATAGCCAGACTCAATTATTAAGTTGCATGATTGATTCCAAGATAGAATTGGGAGCTGAAGCAGATGGAAGTTGCTATTAACTCCTCAGTATGTTCTCTCTTCTGCTATATCTGATGGAGGAAGAGTGCATATAAATGGACTCAAGAGGGAAGCAGAGGAAGATAACTCAGATCAATTCCCCAGGAAACAGGCTCTGAGACAGAGTTTAGGGTGCTGGATGTCTACTAAGGAATCAACTCCTGGGAAAGAGAGAGGAAAGAGGCAGGAGGGGGAAGAGGGAGGAAGGTGTCAGGAGTGGGCTGAGCAAGATGAGCTATGATAGAGGTCCAGTGCCAAGCCCCTGCTCCCCCATGGGGAGCTCTGCTACTACAAGGGCCCCTCATTATTGCATTGATTGAACTAAGATGACCAGGCCTTTTTATCCTTCATTGATCAGTTAGTCATGGTGGGTTGTCCTAGAAGGACATGATCCTGAGTGAGGTGGATCAGCAGCCAAAGAAATCCTTGAAAAGGACCACAGTTGAAGGTGAAAGTCCACCCCCAGGTTTTAGTCCCTCGATTCTAGAGAATTGGCTCTCTAGGGGGTGGTTTTCTCTCTTAGGAGATATTTTACAATGTAAATATTTTTTGAAGTTATTTTTGTAGTTGTATATGGATAGAATGCCTTTATCTATCTATCTATCTATCTATCTATCTATCTATCTATCTACCTATTTATTTATTTTTATGTGGTGATAAGGATCGATCCCAGGGCCTCACACGTGCTTGGCAAATGTTCTGCTACTGAGCTAAAGCGCTGGCCCCTGTAAATATTATGATTGTCACAACTAGAAAAATCCTACTTCTAGCTAGTGGGTAGTGTCCATAAATGTTGCTAAAAATGCACAGGACTGCCTCCAAGATCAAATAATTACCTGATCCATCAATAGTGCCAAGGTAGGAAAGCCCTGCTCTTGGACAAGTCCCTCTTTGAGACAATGTGGGCAACATCACTGTGTCCACTCCAGGAATCATTATTAGTTCCAGATATTACTGCTTGTGGACACCATGCTCTGTTCCTCATTCTTTTTAAGACTCCCGCAAACCCTTGGAGATGGGTCTCATGACATATCTTTACTAATGGGGAAACTCATTTGTAGTTTGGTAGGAAACTCAGAGCAATTAAGGAAACTGCCCCACCTCATGAACTGGAAGGACATTGATGTGAGATTTAAAGTGGGTCTGCTTATTGAAAACATTGTATTATCTTCTGCTTTCCCATTGAAGGTGTTCAGAGCATATCACCTCCAAATACACCCCTCCATCATCTTGACTATTCTGAGTTGAAGGTTCTGGTAAAAGAACATTTTTAATTTCCCTCTTAGAAGCAACAGATGAAATTCTGATATGAGATATGTTGTCCCTATACCAGAAGGAGAATAAAGACCAGGAGCTGAGGCTGAAGGAAATATCTACAGTCTATGCTAAACTAACCTTGTTTTCCTAGTGACTTCTCCACCCACTGGCCTACTCTACCCATGCCCCTTTTCTTTGTCACATTTTCACAACTCAATAGTCTTTGTTCAAGTCGGCATGCAAGTGTTTAACTCTAATAGCATCGTGGGGGTCCCCATTTCCTATGAAAACTTCAATGCCACATAAAACTTGTATTAAATAAATTTGTATGACTTTCTCCTGATGATCTGTGTTATGTCAATTCAATTCTCAGCACCAGCTGTAAAATTTCAAGTCAGTAGAGGAAAATTGTTGTCTCCCCTGTTCCTAGGTGGCTTGATGTAGCAGTTCTCAAACCCTTCTTTTTCTCTAATCCCAAAGGAGGATGCTCACATGTTCAATTTGCTCCCATAGAATTCCTGGAGTTTGAGCTGTGAGCTTACCTCTCTCTATTGAACTTCAAAGGTGCAGTGGGACATGAGTGACACAGTACAAATTATAGAGATAATCCTGAATTTTCTCTAGTTTGTATTTCAGTAGATCATTCCCCAACTCTGAACTTTTATTATGAGTTAACAAGTTGCTTCCAGTGAGCTTGCAGTTGATACTGAGATTATGACCTCTTGGTAAACTGGGTGAATGTGTAAAGAGACAACTGTGTTTTCATAATTTGCATCATACTCTAGCTTCTGTGTCATTTGGGTTAAAGTAAGTTAGTCAAGAACCTTCTGATTCATATTCATACCTCTAGAACCCTGGTGAAGGGTAGCTGGGGGATGGCCCAAGGGTAGAGTTCTTTCTACTTCCAGCTCGACAAAATAAGTAAGTATATAAATAAAAATAACCCTGGAACCAAACAGCTCAATACAATAAAAAAAATAGCATCAACTATGTCCCTGAAATTGTCCTATATTTTTATTGTAAACGTTAGTATTTACTAGTAAAAATTTCTGCAGGAGCAGAAAACAAAATCTATCATTTTATGAACATGTAATTGAGCTTAATAGAGTCACTTATTATCCTCTTTAAAACAAAATCACACAAATTTTGGTGATTTCAGTAAGACACCATCTAAAAGAAATAAACATTTGGTCTATAAAATGTTATAGAAAATAAAATCCAGTACACATTAACCCAAAGATAGGAAGAAAAACAACTTAGATATTTTGTTATTAATTGTTATTGACCTTAACAATAATGTTAGTTGTTAGGGTGAACAGCAGCTACAGTTTTTACAGTCTAGCAGAGAATTTTTAAAAAATTCTATCATTAATGCCATGATACATTTCTATATTGAGGGTTTTATACAATTGAAAAACATGAAGATGAGAAGGATTAAAACAACTTGATTGAATTTACACAGAAGTGCATAGGGAAAAGACATTGCCACACCCAGATCACTTTCTACAGTTATAAAGCCTAATTTAAAGTAAAATGTACATTTGCATTTGTTCATCCATGTTTTTAAATAATTTTTTGCAACATATTGCTCAGCAAAATATGATATAAAAAGTAATTGTCAGTGAGTGTTTAAAGATCAGCTCTCATAGTAAAAAAAACTGCATATGTACTATGTAAGTTTTTTAAAAATTTTCCTGATATACAATTTACATATAAGAATAAAACACAGAATAGTTCTTATTATACATTTTAAATAGGCAATAGATTTTCACCAAATGCTTTTGGCAAAGTTTACCAAAATTGTATATCTGTAGGCTGGTTTCACTTGGTCCATGATATGGAACATGAATATTGACTAATGATTTCAGGTTTCCAGCCATGAAGGCAACATCATATAATACACAGCTGAGCAGAGATTCTCGAGAGCAACCATTATGTGGTATTTCCACTGTATAAATATGATAGACATAAATAATCTCCAGAGCATAAGTAATATTTAAATGTGACAAACTAATTAGAAAGAATGAACTCTGATTATTGATTATCTTTTTTTAATATAATCTATTCCATTGGAGATTAATGTGATGTAATTTCTTAATACTAATTGTTTAACAAATGGCTCACAAGTTTCCTGATATTTTAATAGTTGGATTTTAAGAATTGGTGGAATTGCAGATAAAGAAAATATTTCAGTTAATCGAACATCCCCATTTCTAGTATCTCTTACTCCAGCTTATTATTCTGAGGATGCAAGTAGAGGGTATCCTATTATCAAGCAAGACAATTGTCAAGATAGATGATGTCTGGCAGAGCCTTCCCTTAAAATTTATTGTTATTTTTGTGGTTTGTTCACAGGCATTTCCCTGCATCTCCACAGGCATTTATGGTAAGTGCAGCTTTTGATGATATTTGTATTTCTCTTTTTATTGTTAAATTGGTGTGGGGGCGGTAATTTAACTGCAAAAATAAGAGGTTCTCTGATGAACATATTTTATTTTGAATTAAAGAGACTGAAAATGCAGGTCAAAACCCATTAAGGAATCTCAGAAGCTATTCAGTTTCTTCTCTGTTCTTGAGTTTGTAAATCATTTAATACACTGTATCTTGAAGCCTTTGTTAAGCAAAAAAATTGTTCTACCAAGATTGACTTCTACATTGTTTTCTGTAATAAAGTCAGGTTTTATCTCAGAAAAAGCATGATGTGCATCAAACCTAGCTCTATAATTATTTTGTTGCAAATTGCAAAGTAATAGAAATATTAAGATGCATACAGATGCATATATATGCATCTTCAGATTTTTACAAAATCTAAAGTGACTTGATAAAAGCAAAGAACTTTAATAAGCTGTAAAAATTTTTCCTTGGATTGATTGATTGTTTTAAGTAGTGTGTGTTTCACTTGTAGATGAAACAAAAATGTGTAATTACTTGTTTTCTCTAGTCTAAAACTCTTTAAATATTTTTTTGCATATAGTGATACTGTTTTATGCTTTTGTCCCAGACCATTAATAAGTCTGTTTTACAATATTCAGGTAAAAATGGGGTATATTTGTCATTTTATGGTCTTCTTATTCAAGAAAAATATATTAAACATTTTATGTGGCAGACCCTAGCAGGAAAATAAAATTTGCAAAAAATCTGTAAAAGATAGTTTAAATTCATTACCTAGATTGATGGAAAATGTTGGAAATTTATTTTTTCCTAATCTATTGTTTTTTTAAGGTCTTAGAACATGGAAAATGTAGGATTCAATCAAATCACATGGTGAAGGATTTGGTCACACACTTAAAGATTTCAGGTGTACCTTCTTCCTCTCCAGATTCTACGCTAGGTATTAGGATTTTACTTTGTAGAAATAGGATATACAATGGGCTAGAGGGGGCTAAACTGGACCATCTGCACAATTATCCCATCATGCTCATTCTTCCTGCCTCCCAAACATGTAGTTATGAATCTTAAATATTTTCTTAAAGGAAGCATTACGTGCAAAGTTTTGCCTGGTAGAGTCCAATCCTTTATTTCATCATATCCAGAGTCAAACCAGACCATATTGCAGAAATGGTTTTCATTTTGAGAATGTTCTTTCATCCCAGTCTCAATTTTCCTTGACAAAGACCCAACTGCCTAAAACAATATTTTGCACATTTTTTTCTTTGCTTATTACCTTGTCAGATTTTTGATGTCTGTTTTATGTCTGAGAATCTTATGGTAATGTGTGAAGAACTTCAAAAGAAGAATTTATCTAACATGATATACTATTAAAAAAGGGAGTGGCTAGAAAGGGGAAAAAATAAATGAAGATGAGGAGGGACCATAAAATCAGAGACTCCTGAATAGATTATAAGACATGTATCAAATCTCAAGTGGATCAAAGTCAACTTTGATCTCTGTAGGGCAGGGATTTCTCTCTAGAGGGAGTCATGTGGCTCAAAATAGAATAACTGGTTTAGTATCCCATTGTGGTGAATGAAAGGAGAAAAGTGAAGACTATTGGTTAGGATATCAATAGAATGGGTCTCAAGAGCTAGTTTGAAGGACTATCACTAAGCAGCAACCTTAGTCATTTTCACAATGGGTTTTTTTTTTGAGGATTGTTTTCTATTGTGATTTGTTATATATAACAAAGGAATGCATTACAATTCATGTTACATATATAAAACACATTTTTTCATATCTCTGGTTGTATACAAAGTATATTCAAACTATTTGTGTCTTTGGATAATCATGTCCACCACATTCCACCATCATTTCTAACCCCATGCCCCCTCCATTTCCCTCCCACCCCTTTGCCCTGTCTAGAGTTTGTCTATTCCTCCCATGCTCCCCCTCACTACTCCACTATGAAACAGCTTGATGCTGGTTGTTTTAATGAATCATAATTATATCCATTATTTATCAGGTTGTTAGTATGTGCCCAATACTGTTAAAACACTTAATGAACTAGATTTATTTTCAGAGTCATGTTTGTTGATATATAATTTATATATGGTAAAAGTTATCCCACTTAGTTTTATAGTTATATAAATTTTGATAACACAAATATAAAAAAATGACAACATACATATATGGATATATAGTACTACCATATATTAACTCATTTAATCCAATGGATTACCAACAAAATTTGCAAAGAAAATAATTGTTAGTAAGACATTTCATGTTCATTTTATTTGTCCTAGCAACTCTTTGGAATCTAATGTCTATTTAACACATAGTACACCTCAATTCAGACTAGACACATTTCAAATACTCAGTGGCCTCGTGTGACCAATGGCTGCCATATTGGCTCCTTTCTCCGTCTTTCACCTTTTAGTGAGATATATGCCGTATGCTGCATGATAAGTCCCCTTGTTATGTTGAGTTCCATCAGAAAGGGACACCAAAGCGATGAACTTAGAATATACAAGAGTAGAATGAGGTGTTTTATTCCTCCCTATAAGACTCCCTATAAGACTGTGAGATGGTTTTTACATGCTTTTGATGCGAAAAACTTCAGTCAGGTCACCTTTTCCTACAAGTTTTTCATAATGGCTCTCTCTTATTTCACTTCCTACCTCTCCAAGTTTACAGAATGAAAGGTGCTTCATAAAATTTGTTAGTTACCCTCAACATTGCCCTTACCTTTATAAATACCTTACTAAACAATTTTTTACTCTGATTAGTCTTTTTCATCCTTGAATCTTGAATAATGGATTTTAAATTATAAGAGAGTAAAATATACCTCATCTCATATCATAGGCAATGTATATACACATGCCAGATAAATTATATATTAAAATATAACATATAAAATGCTAAAACTTTTAAAGAACATGTTTGTATAACTTTGTGAAGAGAAACAGAAAACAAAAAATATGAAATAAACCAAAACCTGAAAAATTAGATGATATTATAGTTAAAATTTTTATGTGTGAAAATTTATCAAAAAAGAGTTGAAAGAGACATGAATTGTATTACCAGGTCATTTTTGTTTATTTTTAATATTTAGCTTGACTTGGTTTCTACTTTGATTGGCTTTTCCTTTATTGTAGTTCTTCTCTTTGCAGATTTTTGTTGTTATTTTTATTTCCTTCTTGTGGAATATTTTGCCAAGAATGTTCTATAGAGCAGGCATTCTTGCTGTAAATTCTTTCAGCTTTTATTTATCATGAAAGGTTTTTATTTCATAGTCAAATTTGCAGCTTAATTGTGCTAGATATAAGATTCTTAGTTGGCATCCATAATCTTTTAGAACTTGCTATATGTTGTTTTAGGATCTCCTAGCTTTGGGAGTCTGGGTTGAAAAATCTGCTGAGATCCAAATTGATCTTCTCTTATAGGTAATCTGATTTTTCTCTCTTGTGCCCTTTAAAATTCTATCCTTTCTCTGCATGCTAGGCATTTTCATTATAATGTGTCTTGATATAGGTCTGTTATAATTTTGTACATTTGGTGTCCTATAGGCCTCTTGTATCTGATTTTCCAGTTTATTCTTTATGCTTAGAAAAATTTCTGCTATTATTTCATTGAAAAGATTGCACATTCCTTTGGTTTGAATCTCTGAACCTTCTTCTATGCCTATAAATCTCTTAAATTTGTTCTTTTGATGGTATCCCATAATTCTTGGATATTCTGTTCATGGTTTCTTACTATCTTCACTGGGAGGTCAACTTTATTTTCAAGATTGTATATTTTGTCTTCATTGTCTGAGGTCCTGTCTTCTAAGTGATCTAGTCTGTTGGTGATGCTATCTATTGAGTATTTTAATTGGTTTATTGCTTCTTTCATTTTGAGGATTTCTATTTGTTTTTTTTCAATATCTGTATCTATTTCTTGAAATAATCTCTTGCAACTTGTATTTGCTCTCTTATCTCTTTGTTGGAGTGATCATTTTTTGCCTGTATCTGCTCACTTAAGTTGTTCTTTAATTCCACAATTATTCTAGTTATGTATACTCTGAACTTCTCTGACATATCACGTACTTTGCTATCTATGGGTTCTTTTGTTATGGTATCTTGGTTTGTTTGGGGGCACTTTCTTCCCTTGTTTTTTCATGATGGCTATGAGTTTTCCTCTCTTGCAATATAGATCTGAGGTATGACAGCTTCTGCCCTATTGTCTTATACTGTCCCTGTAGGCTACCAATACCTCACTTTTAAGGGAAAGATCAATATTAGAGCACTCAACGTACCAACATGCAGCCATATATCAGCTTCTATTTTTACATTTACAGTTTTTTCACTATAATCAGAAATGATGAGTTCGGTTATCTTCTACCTTATAGTCAATAGGTTTGCATAATGGTTTACAGTTTCTGATGGTAGAAGGGGGGTTTAGGGAATTGGCTGAGATATTTATGAGGTAGGATGTGAGAATATGGAGGTTTTAGGTTATATGACTAGGGAGAGGGTAATCACCTGAAGTTGGCTGTTAGTAGGAGAAATAAGAGATAGGCAACCCCACTCAAGACTCCCTGTTACCTCAGCAACAGGATAACTGTTATCACCCCTAGTAGAGATACTTTTGGTGCAGACAGGCTCACAGGGACCTTGATGATATCTTACCAGGTCCTTATTGTGGTCCTTGATAGAAGCAGTGATATTCCAGTTTTGTGGCAGTGGCAGCCTGATGTTGGGCTGTGGAGCCACGGTTTGGTGAAGAAGGATCCTCAGTGCAGGGTGGCTCACCATGTATCTCTGGGTTCAGGACAGGCCTCTCCTTCCTATGTCCAGGCCGTGTTTGGCAGGTGGGCCTCTCCTCTGGATCTTGGGCCGAGGTGTCCATTTTCACCATGTCAAGGAATATGATTCTCAGACTCTAGCTACTCACCTCAATTTGCTCTCGGAAGTGAGGTGCTACTAGAGTTTGCATATGAAGAGTCCCCCCAAACTCCTATGTTAATGCAGA